GAGAGTAGACCAGTAACCAGAAAATACCACAGAACCTGACATTTTGGTTTATTGTTATACAAATTATTTAAGTTATTCTTGGGGGAGTAAGGTATGACTTTATTTAGTGATTTATGGGTTGAATGGCATGAAAGAAACTATCCTAGCCAGGTTGTAATATCAAATTTTGTTTTTGCAGTCAATAATCTCCTCAGCCTTTATTATACAAATTTCTTATTTTCCTTACTTTGCAGATGTGAAAATAAAAGATTTGATGAAGAATATCACCAAGTTGACTGAGGAGCTTCGCTCTTCCATCCACATCTCAAATGAGACTATCCATAGCATTCTAGAAGCAAATATTTCCCACTCCAAGGTGTGGTGCTGCTTCTTGTCTGTCTGTTTTGCTCATCGGAGGAGCCTTAGCCTGAAGTTACTGACACTGTGTTGTCCTTTCTTCCTTCTTCCCTTCCTCTCCTTTGGCTAGTGGAGTGGGTTGCTGCACGAATGATATAATTGGAGGCAGAAAGGAGACAAAAGAACAAGCAAGGAACCAAAGGGTGTCATTGTCCCATGCCAAAATCTTAGGGTTTTTAATTCCATAATATTTTCTTTATTTGGAGTTAGAACAAAGTTGGTGATTATTTATTCAGTTGATTCCCAGCCCTGACGCAAGACACCTGGGAAGAGTCTCTGCTTGGTTCAGCAGGTGTTGCAAAATTCTTAAAATACCCCAAACCAAAAACAGCTAAAAATATCTAAGAATCGACTATGACTTCCTCTGAGTGGAGAGTGACTGGGCGCAGTCTGGCTGTGTGCTACCGTAGTGAATCGCTGTGAAAGCAAATGAGCAATGGCAGGCAGTGTCATCTCCAAGCTGAAAAATGTGATAAAACAATCAAAGAGCTATTGCAACAAACCAAGGAATAAGTAACATCTGGGCTACATGGCGTATGGTTTATCTGTGGAAAAGGGGAACAGGGACATTTCATGTTGTCCACAGCAGATATCACCTGGATCCTTAGCAGGAGATTTTCTGAGACAGCTTTCAGCACTTCTAGTTGGGGTTTTACCTTCCTGTACAGAGAACCTTCCAGAAGTAGTAACCGTGGAGCTGATTCATAAGTGAACATTGCAATTAACCATCAACTGGGCCCCAACACACATTTAATTTCATGTCAGTTCTGGTTAATTGGGGCTTATTGCAAGCTTGACGGGTAGACTAATGAAGAATTAATCTAAATTAAAAAGAGATCAGAAGCTGGGAAACCAAAATTCAAATGACAATGTCACTAAGTTACTTATAATAAGGCACTTAGTATTTATCTTCAAGGAAAAAATGTCGAATTCAGCTTATTAAACATGCGAGAGCCAAGGAAAGCAGGGGGCAATGCTGAAATTGTCTCTTCCCTACCTCGCATGATGCCTTGTAGAGAAACAATGAAGATTTTTAGTTTAAAATCTTTAGTTATTGAAACGAGTAACTGGGGAAAGAAACAGTGGCTGGAGTAATTGGAGTAGCTACCTGGGAATGTTTTAAGACCAGGGTCAGATTAGCTAACTTTTGGGGTCCCTTTCAAATTCAGTTTTATGATACTTTTTGGGTTTGGGCTCAACTATTTTTGATGACCACTGCCTGATGAAACAAGTGGCCACTGGGTGTCACTGCTGTTCTATTAAGGGAGGGCTGTGCACAGAGAAGGCGCCTGTGATAATGTGGTATTGTCTTGTGTCGATGGTTCTGCAGTGCTTTTCTTGCATTCTGTGTATCTTTCTCTACCTCCTTGTCAGTATGAATCATTAAGACCGCCTAAACAGCTGGACAGTTAAGTAATTGGGAAGAGTATTTAAAAAGCTGCATTCTTGCATTTCAAATAAGTAATGAGATTATTTGCTTTGACGGTTAATTATATCCATAAATTCACGTGTATCTACAGATCCTAAGCAAGGAATTCATGTTAGGTTAGGAGGTGACACTTTGGATATTTGTTTTTTCTAGATTGTCAGGTTTTCAGTAGCACCATATTATTTCTAGCATCCTTTTCTTGTCTTTCTTCCTGGGCTTCTCTACCATAGCTTTAGTCAGTTTGCAAATAATCACATCAGATTCTTAGTCCAGGCTGTTGGTGGCCTGCAGGGAATACTTTGCTGTGGTGTTAAAGCCCTGGCAAAATTGCAGAAACCTTCATTCATTCATTTCTTCCTTTATTCACTTAGGATGTTTCTGCATGACAGGAATGGTCCCAAAAATTTGGGCTCAAAGTCTGTGCTCCAAGGGAGCCAGTGATCTATGGGGGATGACACAATAAATATGCAAACAAATGAAGACTGGTGTTAAGAGACCAGAAAGTTCTATCATGCAAATAGAACACAACAATGAGGACAGGTGATCCCTGGAAGCCTCCCTGAATCAGTGAAGATGGACATCAGACTGGAATGATGATGAGCATATAATGAATTATGTGAGAGTCACAGAGCTGGGGACATTCCTATCAAAAGACCAGAGGCAGGAGTGAGCAGAAGGAGGGAAAGGCAGCAGATGAATGGATACCATCTCATTTTTGTTTCCTGCCCTCTTCCCTGGCTGCAGAGAACCTGCCACGGGCACCCACCTATGGGAATTTCCTTTTTCTTGCAGAGCTCCATTCTCTAATGTCAGCATCACCCAATTAAAACCACAAATCACAGGGGTTTGCTGGACACTGGAGCCCATCTAGCCCAGCCTTCTGTCCTGGGCTTGGATCCTGTCCACCTGCCCTGTGAAGCACCCATCTACTTCATGCCGTGTTCCCATGTTTCAGGCACACATTCGAATCAACAATGACTTCCTTCCTTGTGTTGGGCCAAATTTTTATTATTTTAAAATTAACAATGAGGTCAAAGTGTCAGGACCCATATAGATTGAGACAGCAATCAAGTCGGCCTTCTGCCCCTTTATTTTCTGTGCTAAACAATTGGGCAGCGTTCAGAGGACTTTTGCTTGGAAGAGGAATACTTTTTCACAATCCGCAGTGGATTTGTCCTCCCCGCCCCACAAATCTTAAGGAGGAAGGGAGAGGGCTTTCCCTGAAAGTTCCGATCTCTTCTGGGAGGCTCCTTCAAATGGAATGGTATTCTGAATCTGTTTTTCTGTTTCTTTTGAGCAGAAATGATTGAGTTTAGTGAATCTGGTCAAATTTCCTTATCTCACGTGGGGCCGGTCCTGGGGGCTGGTTCTGTTGGTTGCGTCATTAACAGAGCTGCTGGGCACAATTTATGGGGAGGGA